GCCGCTGTTTGTGGTGGCTGCTAATCTCTGTGCATTAATAACCTGAGCCAGATGGTTCAATTAGTGAATGTATGTCGGTACTGGCACTGGGTAGGATGAATTGCTGACTTGCACCCGGGTGGTGGATGGAGCTGCCCAGGGCAGGAGTGGCCCAGCAGCCCTGGGTCAGTTCCTCTCCCAGCACTGATGCCATCCCTGCTGCCTGGCTCTGCTGGGCTGGCTGGGGGTCTCCACGGAGCCCTCCTCTGTCAGGAGGCCCTGGCAGCCAGCCCTGCCCGAGATCCGGCTCCTGCCTTCCGATCACGCTCTGCACTCGGGCTGGAGCTGGGCCCTGTCCCAGCACCCTGTGGAGGCAAGGAAGGGATTAATGTGGGGGACTGGGAGCTGACAGCCTCGCTGCCCCGGGCTGTAATTAGTTCTCAGGCACGGTTCCACAGAGCCCCTTGCTCCAGTTGGGCTGAGGATGGAGGGCAGAGGCAGTTGCTCTTTTGTCTGGGCTTTAATTCTTGCTGGGCAGTGGTTTGGCTGTTTTGCCTGGAAACAATCATCCCTCCCCATGTGTTTCCCTGCTAAAGGCTCTGACTCCAAGGGCTCTGCAGGCACAGGAGCCTCCCCACGGCCTCACGACACATTCACATTTCTTCTGAAGCTCGCAGCCCTCTTGGCTGACCAAGCACTAAAACCCTTCTTTGCTCTTTGTGAAAATAAGAATGAAGGGTTTAGCTTTTAGAGAGCTATTTGACTGTAAAAGCAAGAGAGGAAACCAGCTTCATTAATGTGGTGATAGCTTTTAGGAATTCCCCTAAGTACCATTATTGAGAGCCCTGCTGAAGATGCAGGATGCTCCAATTATGTGACAAAGCCAGTATATCCCTCCTCCTGATCAGGAACTGTCTCCAGGAAAGGAACTAACTCGGGGAATTTTTATTTGTATTTATTTTCTTGTAATTAAATAAAGGGAAAACCTCTCATTCATTTGCTCTTCAAGCTCGTTAGGTTTCTGGAGACTCTAATTATTAGAAGCCGAGTTCCAGCCCGCCTGCTTCCCCAAAGTGCACCAAGAGCCATTAAAATCCTGATCACTTTAATTCTGTGCGAAAAGATTACACCATAATTGTCTGCAGCAGCAGGGGATTCGATGTAATCACCCAGAAATCCTTCCCAGCACCTCCTCCAGTGTCACTGAGTGCAAGCATCGCTCCTGGGGCCGGGCCCTGGTGGGGACAGACCCCTGAGCTGCAGGTGTGGCTTGGGCTGACTCAGCTGCCAGCAGCCCCCGTGTCCTGTGGGATCCTGCTCCTGTCCCTGCTCCTGTCCCTGTCCCTGCTCCTGTCCCTGCTCCTGTCCCTGTCCCTGCTCCTGTCCCTGTCCCTGCTCCTGTCCTGTTCCCAGAGGTGGCTCCAACTCTCCGTAGCCTTGGGAGCCTCCAGCAGCCCCAGGTGTCATCGGGGAGCCCAGCCTGGCTCAGCTGAACCCCAGGGGACCCCTTGGGTGGTGTTTGGGTCCTGTCAGCACAGTCCAGGGCCTGGCAGCTCTCTGGGGATTCGCTGTGCGTGGCTTTTATGGCCTCTTAGCCCAGGCATGCTGGCAGTGGAAAGCTGCTGCAGGAGATTCACTCTCCAGTAAATATAATGGCAATAAGTTGCTCCCTCCTGCAGCCCTGGGCCCTCCACACAAGCATTAAGTATCGTGCAGGATTAATAATGTTCTGCATCGACACTAAAACTGCATTTCTCCCTCTTATTTATGGTTGGATGCTTTATTTTTCCCTTTTTTTAAAGCCACATCTTCTACAAACACCTGCAGCAGGGTGCACCATCCCTTTTCTGCCCAGCCTGAAAAATATCCCCTACAGTCCCTTTTCATTGTTCCTCTTTCTTTCCATTTTTATTCCATGTGTTCTCTGAATCAGTTTATTGGCAGTGTGAAATTGTGACTCCTGGTTTGCTCAGGGAAGATAATTAATGTCAAGGGGCATTTTTAAGCCAAGTCCTTGTGGCCTCTCTGAATTTCCACGTGTGGGTTATCTTAGAAGCAGTTTAACATTCAGGTTCAGCAGGGATTGCCTGTGTGTTCAGGGAGCTCTGGGAAGACCCCTCTCCTCCTGCTCCCATTCCCTGTGAAGCATCAGAAGGTTTTTGTGGAGAGAATTCCAGCAGCTGTGCAGAGGAGCAGGAGGTGTGTCCTGGCCTGGGAGGCTGTGGGCAGCCTTGGGGAACGGGAGAGCAGCAGCTCTGCCTCCCCTTGGGCCAGGCAGTGAGCAAGTGCTGCGCTGAGGTCGAGCTTAATTATGGTTTCAAGAGGAATGATGGTGTTTCAGCCTTTTCCTGGTGGTTCAGGGAGTTAAAGGAGTGCCACTGGACACACAGGGAGGTGTGGGGTGTGCAGCACGTCCGGGCTCTGGAGGAGCCTTGGAGCAATCCCAGTCCCCACAGGGAGCTCCAGACCCGAGGTCAGCCGCTGGCCAGGATACCCTGCACCAGCTGGGAAACTCCATCTGCCAAACTGGGCTTTTAAACAGGTGCACTCAGTGGTTTAGTGGTGACTCTGGTGGTGGGGCTGGGCTGACTGTTGGATTTGATCTTAGAGGTCTCATCCAATTTAACAATTCCGTGATCCCAAGTGTGTCACAAATGAACCAAACGTGGCCACACCACCTCCCTTCTCCTGGGGTTGCTGCCACGAGCAGTGACATTGGCTGGTGTTTGTCACTAGACAGCAAAAGCTGGAGAAGTTAAATGGTGGATGTGGCTGGAAGGAGCAGCAGGAGCAGGATGGGAGCGTGGATTGTGTGCTGAGCCCTGAGGGGGCTCTGGGGGAGCCCAGGTGCCCTCGGTGGTGCAGGGATGAGGGGCTGTCCTGGCGTTCCCTGTGAGCCATCCCAGTGTCGGCTCCTCCACAGCGCAGTAGGAGCTGTGGGATCCAGCTGTGGGATCCAGCTGTTCGCTCCTGCCCAGCCAGAGTCATTCCTTACATGGCTTATGTAACTTGCAGAAACCTCCCAAAGTTTCAAGAAGCCAGAGTGGAGCCATTGGACTGTGGCCATTTCTCAGTATCAGTAATAACAAACAGTGATCCATTTTCCATTCACGGTTCACCGATCAGGAGAAACATTATTTAATTACCGGGCAGCAGATGGGGAATGCTGACGTTGGGGGTGTGTGGCAGTGAGCTGGTTAAATCCTGCCTTGGCAGATGGGGAGGGCTCTTGGCTCACTCCAGTCTTTTCCAGCAAAGGCAAGGGTATTCCCAGCCTGAGAGCAGGGCTCGCCCCTTTTTCCACCCCCTCTGTCTGTGCTGGACGGGTTGCAGGGAATTCCTGCCAGGAGCTCTCTGCAGGCTGCAGCGTCCCTGGCCCAGCGTCCCCGGGCACACGGACGGGCTGGAGCCGGCGCTCCGGAGCAAACACCGAGCACAACAGGCCCTTGGGCGAGCTGATGCACAGGAAGAGCCGAGGCCTAATGAGCAAACTTGTTAATTTTCCAGATGACAGAGCAGAGGAAGCAGAAGCAGCGCATCGGTCTCCTTGGACACCCCCCGCCCATGAATGTGAACCTGCAGCAGCAGCCAGCCTGAGCTGGGAGGGACACGGCCCCTCCGGGACCATCCCCGGCCCAGGGGCTGCTCCCTGAACCTCCTGTGCATCCTGTAAATACCCTGGTTTTATACTTAGATGTACATGACTGCTACTCTATCAAGCTGGGGGCGTGTGGATTGTGATTAGAACTGTTGGCACGGGACAGAGGTTAAACTTTGTGCCAAAACTATCAAAATTGCCTTTTCCTTGGAAGGACTTAAGAGAGCACCTGAATTGCACTTGAAAAGATTATTTGACTATGTGACATGTATTTTGTATTTAAAAAAAAAAAAGAATAGAATAGCTAGTATTTATGTTTTTATACAATTGTGCAATATGAATTATGCAATCACAATATATTTGGAACTCCTGAATGTCCTAAAGGGAGTGCACATCTTTGGATCTGGTGTGTTAGTACAATGTAATAAATGGTATAAAATTACAGGTGTAAATGAGGCTGCTGCAAAATTGTGTAACTGGTGATTTTTTCATACCCTTGGACATTTTTGTACCATGTGTGTAAATATCTTGCAATGCCATATTTGTTGCCTCTTCCTCCCAGGGATGACGCTGGGACTCCGTGAGCTGTTCAATTGGTATCGATTAAAGCAAAATGTTATTTTGAAGCTTCCGAGTGAGGAAAGCAGGAGGTATTTTTCAAGAGATTTCTTTAGAGTACTGAGGCTAGAAGAGCTCAGACACCGGGTTGGGTTTTTTAAATGCTAAGATTTCTTAAAGGGAACTTTTTATGCAAAATGAAGTTTGGAATGAGGATGCACTGCTGGCGAGTCGGTGCAGTCTCCCAGGACCGAGCTGAGGCTGTCCAGGCTTTGCATTCTCAGTGTGTAGGATCCTCTCCTTCTATTTTTTCATTAGAGACCTACGTGCCTGCTAAAGCTTTAGCAAACAGGCGCTGCACCGACTGAAACGTGTCCTGTAGCTGAGCACTGATGTGTGTAATGCTTGTGTGAGAGCCACTGGTTTGAGGCTGCTCTGTCCCACCCCTTCCTCTCCCTGTCCCCTTTCATTTGGCCACTTTCTTTGGTTTCTGATTCTCCAGAGTGTGAAAGGAAACGTGTCAGGTTGTTGTTTGGTTGGTTTTTTTTCCTCCAATCCGCTGCATAGTTTTATACATGGACCTCATTTTACAGAAGCTGACTTCTCTCTGCAATACTGTCTACAAAAGAGAAAAAAAAAAAAAAAGAAAAAAAGCTACAGACAGAGCTATGAAAATTTGTAAATGCATAAATATAGGTATTTAAATAAATGATGCAAAATACTCTACAGTCAGAGGCTGCTGGTGGTTTGTGTCCTCTCCAAGGTGATGTGTGGCAGTTCTGTGTTCTGTCACACTCTTGTGTCCTGGGGTGTGGTGTCACAGGGGCCTGGCAGGTAAGGATGGGGCTTTTCCCAGTGCCCAGAGAGGCAGAGGTGGATTTTTTTAAAACCAGAGCATGTCCCTCCTCCAGTAATGAGAGGCACTGGCACCCAGGGAACTTCCCCTGCAGTCACCCCAGGCTGGGATACTTCACACTCTCCCCACTGCTAGTTTAGGTTTGTGGCTGTCAGTGGAGCATGTGAGAGTTAAAAACCCCTCCAGCTCCAAGCATCGTGTGCACAGGAGCGTTGCTGATTATGTGTATTTGATTAAGATGTAGCAGGAACTACCTGGTACAATTAATCATCTTTAATCTGGGAAGTGCACACAGCCGTCTGAGGAGGGTGCGTGTCCCGAGCTCGGGTCATCAGGAAAGCTCAGCGGGAGAGAGGAAGGAGGGCAGCCTGACCAGCAGTCTCCCAGCCAGATTTATCGGTGAGATTGTGACTCCTTAATCACATGTATTTCCATTTATATCTCCTGGCAAATCTGTCTCCCCCTCTGCAGCAAGGTGTGTGCAGAGGGAGCGCGGTGCTGCGGCTGCCGCCGGCGTGGCGCGCTGGACGAGCAGGATTTTGTTTTCCCTGAGCAGCAGAGACACGTACCTGACTCACTCCTTCCCCTCCTGCCATCCAGGGAGAAGCAGACACACAAATCTGTCAGGCTGCCCGGAGCCCCTGGCAGTCAGGTGAGAGGGCTGAGCACAGCCTGAGAGGGCACCCCTGAGGATGTGCGCTGTTGCTTCATCTTTACCTTAAAAAGGCAGGAGCGCAGTGAGCGCTGGCACAGCCCCGCTCCGTGATCCGTGTCAGAGCAGCGGGCTGGAACCTGCTGCTCACTGCGGCTCTGCCCTCCCAGGAGCTTGGGGAGATGCAAAAAGGGAGGTTCTGTCCCTGGGGTGCAGCTGCAGCAGGAGAAGCAGAGCACAGCCACCGCCCCGGGATGCTGGGTGGTTCCAGGAGTGGCACACATGGCTCGGGAGGTCACACTGTGTCCCCAGCCTGAGCAGAGGCTGTGTCAGATGGTCAGCAGAGGAAGGTGACTCTTCCTCCCCTCAGCCCACAAACAGGTCATTCAGATTCATTTCTGCAGTGACATTTAACACTTCTTTCCTTTTTTCACTCTCGGGTCTTCTAAGCTTTTTTTTTATTATTATTTTTCATTCTGGCTGTATCACAGCTGTGCCAGCAGAGGCAGAGAATGGCCAAAACCCTGCTGGGGCTGGGGGTGGCTCTGTCCCTGCAGCTTCCAAGGTCAAATCTGTGTTAGGACTTTCCCGTTCTGGATTGAGACCTGGTGCCCCATGGCAACTTCCTGATCTCAGAGAGACGCTGTGTGAGGGATCTGCTTAACTTCCCCATTTGAGGTACTCCTTTCCACAAAAGCTGAGTATCTCTGACATCACAAAAAGCTTTATTCACAATTGTTGGACTCTCAAGTGGAAAAACCCCTCCAAAACCCGAGAGAGGAATCTGTAATGTAAGTTTAGGTCCTGCACAGGAAGGAGCTTTTTGGCTCTAAAAACACATCGCTGACATCCAGTAAAATTAATGACTGGGTGACAGACAGATGGCTGTTGGTTTAAGGATTAGATTGAAACCAGGGAGGTTCCACCTGCCCTGCACACACCTGGGTTTTCCTTTGGCATCAGGTTTCATTAAGCGGGATGCTAAAGTTTGAGAGCATGATTACTTGGTCTCTTAAATAAGAATTTCCATGTGGAGGTGGAAATCAAAGTGACCTTCTGAAGAGGAAGAACCAAACCGAATCTACCAATTCTGTTAGTAATGGAAAGCCCTAGAGGGGAAGGATCTCCGTGCATTCCTCAGTTTGCATGACTGGCTGAGTGCGTGGAGGAGCCTTTTCTCCGCTAATGAAGCAGGTGACATGCTAATCAAGGCAATGCAAATAACTGCTCTGAAAGCACAGCCGCGGCCCCAGCACCGCCACAATGGCAAATTCAAGGCTCATCCTCAATTTTGCAGCAAATTGGCGGAGGGCAGGACAAAGGAGCCGGGATTGCAGCCTCGGTGCTCACGGCGGGGCCTCGCACTGGGGCGCGTGTGATGGAGACCTCGTTACATAATGGGGGCTTGATTGATATCGGGGAAGTCATAATACAGCTCCATAGAACAATCCCCCTCGTCTCCCCGACGGGAAATGCTCCTACACTCACGCCTAATAGGGGTTTTAAATTGCCCATTGTATTTCTGAACAAGAGAAACTTCACTGGAGCACTTTCCCTTTCCCTTTTCCAACGTGAGCAGCTGAGGACGCTGCCATGTGTGTTCTCCGTGCTCTGCAGATCCGCTGGCTGCAATTCCAGGCGCACATCCGATCCCAGAATGGCTCAGGTGGGAAGGGATCACCTGCTCCACATCCCCGCTCCATCGGGACCATCCCAGGGCAGGAGCGCACTGGAGGTCCCAGGGGATGCCTGTGGAGCCACCACGGCCAGAGCCACTTCCATGTCCAGTGCCTTCCCCAGCAGGGGACACAAGGGGCTGTAAGCTCATGCTGGGGTGGCTCCTGTTTTCCTGGGAACGCTGAGGGCCAGCGTTCTCCCATGCCGCGCTGGAAGTTCCGTGCCGAGCTGTGAATTTCCTGGCCCCGGCCAGCACGGAGCGTAACCTTTACACTCAGCACGGTGATTTACTCCTCCAAACACACTGACCAGGCTGGGAGCTGGCTCAGGACGAGCTGGGGATATTTGGAGTAAAATCAGGACAAATAGTCCTTCTAAGTGAAACTGGCATTGTCACTGCGACATAAGGAGGAGCTTCTGGAGAGATGCTGTACTTCTCCATCCAATTTTTTATTTACTACCTTTCCAACCTTCTTTCAGACTAAACATGTTAATGAGCTGAATGTCAAAACCACCCACGAGTAAACTGAGCTGTCCCATCCAGTAGGCTGATGTTGGTTTGTTTTTAGTAACTAGCAAGGATGCTGGAAAACCCCTATAAAGATTTCATTTTTAACAAAAAGTACCAAAAACTCCACCAGTTTTGCATCACAAAGTTGTGGTTAAAGTCAAGATTTGAGTCAAGCAGCATGTCTGTGGTTTTTGTGGGTGGATGCATCTCGGAATGACTATCAATCTGTCAGAGGGAGATCTGTATGTCATCTCTGCATATGACAGGCAGAATCTGCAGTGACAAATATCTTTCCAGTACTCGCTGCGCCGAGCCTCGTACCCCTCCTGCCATCCAGAATCGCCAAATCTTGTCAGCACGTAGCTTGAACCCGCTTTTTTCCTTTTAAACCGACACAAACAGAGGAAGGAAAGACAAATATAGAGCAGTGCTCTAGAGATGCCACTGCACACCACTGCCAATGTGCTTAGTCACCCCGAAATTGTGACGTGCATGCAGGAGATGCCACAGCGGACACTTGGATCAGAGCAGCCTGCCCAATCCTGGCTGCCTTGCTGCAGTTATGTGTGTGAGGGGCACACTTGGAATTGAAGCTGTGTAAGGAAAAGAATTAAAGAATTACTCTGGACGGAATCAGAGTAACTCAGGAGATGCAGCTGGAATTGCGCAGAGAAGTTCACAGGAAAAAAAAATAAGAAAGAAAAAAAAAAAAAACAAACCTAGAAAATCTGATTGATTTAGAGTTTGACTGCTGGTGTGGAAGTGCCCAAACCTTCTCTGTGTTTTCAGGTCTCCATGGGAGAAACAGGAGCAGTTTGAGCCAGTGCAACACAGGAAGAAAGCCTGAAATTCAACAATAACCAGGAGATGGGAAAAGCACCCTGTGCACAGCCGGAGTCCCAGTGCTGGGATGCATCCAGAGTCTGTGTGAGAACACGCTGACAGCTGGATAAATTGCCTCGAGGCAGGTGCTTCCCCTGGAGCCCCACGGAGCAGGAACAGCCAGAGCCATTTGCAGGCAGCCCCAGAAGCACTGCCATCCATCCCTCAGACCTGGCTCTCGCCTTTCTCACCCATTAGTGCTCCTCAGCTGGCTCCTCTCACCCTGACTCTCAGCCCTTTTCTTCTCCTTTCTTGTCTCATCTCAGGAATGACTTTGCAGCCCTCGCTTGCCCAGAGCCCTTCCACTGCCTGGAAATGGTGCCTGGTCCCAAGGGAATGGGCAGGAGCAGAGCCTGTTCCTGGGCTTTATTGAGGCTGGGGTTTGTTTTCACTTTCCTTTTCTAGCGCTAAGTAAATACACAGAACACCAAATCTGAAGGCAGCGAAGAGTGGAATTCCATCTCTGTTCCATGTGTTCCAATATGACTCTTAAAATAGTGGAGATGCTGTGTTATGATTTCCATTTCACTTGTGTCCATAACACTGTTTTTACGCAGCAGAGATGGAAACACAATCTGTTAAATCTGTAAGAAACTTTTCCTTATGAATGATGGGTGCAAACATCATGTACAATCACATTCCAGGAAGAAAATTCTATCCCCTCGGTGTTAGCAACCCCAAAAGGAGCTAAAAACTCCAGCTTGCCTCTATTTACACACCACGGGTGTTTTTTGCATCAATTTAATCACAGGATGATTCATTATTCACAAACCAAAGAACTGTTATAATCAAGTAGAATCATAGAATCGTTAAGGTTGGAAAAGACCTTTAAGATCATCAAGTCAATGATCAACCCAGCCCTGCCCCAATGTTCACCACTAAACCGTGCCCTCAGTGCCACTTCCACAGGTTTTTTGGGACACTTACAGGGATGGTGACTCCTCCACTTCCTTGGGCAGCACCTTTTAATGCTTTACAACCTTTTCTGTGAAAAAATGTCCCTAACATCTGATCTAAACCTCCCCTGGTACAACATGTGGTTGGGCAGTAGCATAACTACCTGTGAGACTCAAACCACAGAGTATCTCCCAGTGTCCAGCCCCAAAGTGATGGGAAAACTGCCCCACATCTTCATCTCCATGTGATGCTAAATTTGGTGTAGACCTTTGCAATGTGGCCCAGTGGCTGACTGCCTTTGCTGATAAATGTACTTATTGCCTTTAATTTGAATTTTTGCTGCCAGTGAATCTCATTCTGGTACAAAAGGTCACCTCAATAGCCAGCAGACTTCTGCAGAGAGCAACCTGGATTGTGTCCACAGATCTGGAGCTGATGAGGGAATTAAGCTGTTTAAACCCAAAATGCATGGAAATGCAGAGTCACCCTGGAGACACCCCCAAAACTACAGCTGCTCCAAATCTGGAAGAAGCCAGGACTATGGAAAACCTCAAACAGGCAGGGCTGGCCGGGCAGGATGAGTCATCCACAGGGAAATGCTGCTGATGGGCTCCTCCTGAATGTGCAGACATCCTGCTCTGCTGCGTCAGGAGCCTCTCTCCCAAAGGTATGTGTTTGTGGTTGGCAACCAGAGCTTGTTCCCTTTTTTCCCTAAAATTAGGAAGTAGGAGGAATAGAAGGAAATGGTGGCCTCCAAAACCTGCTCAATGTAAATGTTGGGAAGAGATGGAAAGGCAGGTTCCTCGCAGCCCTTTGATGTCAGTGCCATCACGGACGCTCCTAAGCTTCTTCCCAACCCTGTGAAAATTTCCTGCACGGAGCCAAGGGCAGCAGTGCAAAGGATGTCTGGGATGAATGGATGGCCCTGAAGGAGCCACCGTGCACCAGCCCAGACACAGCAATCCATTTATTAAGTGAATGCTCTACCAACAGCTACTGCTCACCATTGGCACAGATGCACAGGGCAGGGGTGCAGAGAATAAAAATCCTTGGCTGTTGCCTGGAGCAGGCATGGATAACAAGGCTGTGGGCTGCAGGATCCCCTCACCTGGGGAGGGGTTTGAAGGAATAAGCATCCACGGAACAATGAAGCAGCTCCTATCTCAGGGACATCCTGCTAGTTAAAGCTTTTACCTGGCTCTTCCAGGCTGCTCCCCAGTGCATACTGCGCTTTGCTCCCACCTCGCCCTGGGCAGAGCTCCCAGCTGTGACTCCAGCACAGAAAAGCAGCTGGAAGTGTGTTCAGTGCTGACCGGAGGCTACAGCCCTGTGCCAGAGGTTCTCCTGCCTTCCACATACACCCACCCTTCTCCCCATAGCCTGCCTAAGAACTGAGACCCCAAACTCAGGGCCTGAGTGGATGCCTACAAGGTAAGAACATAAATTCCTGGATTTTTGCTTTTCAGATCTTTTCTAAGCCTAGTTCCTAGTATTTTTTGTGGGTCTAGTACTCAGTCTGAATGGCTGTAGGAGAAAATCTTGCTCCTTACCCACATCCTCACCCTAATTCTGAGTAACTGGAACTGTAAAGCAAGAGGGGAGATTACAAGCTTGTACAGTACCCACAGTGCTGCCCCCTCCCCTCTCTCCCAGTTCGTCTCTCTGGAAGACCAGGGTTACCCTCAACCTGTGCCAAACCCCACATTTTATGCAGTGAAAAAATAAACAGGCAGAACACGCAATTTTCCTGAACCAAAAGCCCAGAGGTGGTGCATGAACTCGTGCAGGAGCAGACAGCGTGAATCAGAGGCTCGGGTGACTCCAGGGAGCAGGAAAGCCCTGGTGGCAGGCGGCCAGGCTGAGGCACAGCTCCTGCGGCGCATTCCCGCAGCATCCTGCCCACCCCTGACAAATCCTTGCAGGCACTAGTGAGTAACAGTGGGGAGCTGTGACCAGCACCCCTCCCTCAGTGGCTCCTCTGGGGTTCACGCTGCTCTCTGAAAGTGAATGGCCCTTAAATTCACAGCTGGGGTTTGGCTTGTGATTGGAGCCTGTCACCCACAGACAGGAGCTGCGTGTCACAAACAACCGTGTGTGACCAGACCAGAAATATCAGGGTGCCACCTCCAGCGAGGAAAAGCACCTGGTTTCCGTTCTAAAAGCCCCTGAGCACAGCTCAGCTGCTGGTGGGCAGCAGTGGGTAGGGCCCTTGGCTGCTCCCCAGTGCCGTTGTCACCGTCTCCAGGTGCAGGTTAAATTGGGCTGCTGGCCTGGCTGCTCACCTTTGTACCCCGTGTTTACGGTAACCACGGGCTGGCTGATGTCTAGAAATTATTGCTCTTGCGTTACACTCAGTCCTTACTACACCTTTTTGGGGATGAACTTAAACTCCAAATCGAGACTGACATAAATCATTAAGCCATCCATCCTGCCTAAATTAATATATTACAGTCTTCTAACATACACAGGGAGGAGCGTGTGTGAGCTGCCTGGGAGTGGTTTGGGGAGGAAAGGGCATTTCTGCTCTGGCTATTCCGATGCTGTCCCCTGCAGCAGCGGTGACCGTAAAGGTTAAGCCTGCCACAGACTATTGTACCCAGCGGCACTGCTTGGCTGGGCTTTGCAGTCTAATTGCCACTGACCCCGTGACAATGAGGTAATGTCTCTGCCTCCCGGGTCAGATAAATACTGCTCATTTTATAACCACCAGACACGTTACTGAAAAACAGATAGGAAACGACCCAAAGTCCCATGATCACTGGAACATAAACTCTACTACAGCTGTTGCTCTTGTCCTTCATTTGAATGCTATGGGGTTTTTCTCGTAACACCCACTCAGAGGCAGAGCTCTTGGCCAAACTCTGGCCAGGGATCTTCTCCTCAGGTGGCCTCACCCGACCTAAAAGGGAAATGTAGGAAAATGCCAGAGTGGAAGGATGTGATTGGTAAGAAACAACAGGAATAAAATTGTCTTCTAACAGATTTCTAAACCTCAGCCACCGGCACACCTGGGGTGGGAATTCAAGGGAAGAGCTGTGCTGGGGGCCGAGAGCCAGCACTCTCACACAGCTGCGGGGAGTTGCAAAGCCCCCCCGAACACCCCAAGTTCAACTCCGCGGGTTGCAGAGCTGCCGGTGCAGCCACGGTTCAGCCCAAAGTCCTCGCTCCCACCCCTCTGCCCCGTTACAGCTCCCTGGCAATGCGGCCTTTGATGATAAATGCCCGAGTGACGCCAGAGTGACGAGGAGGACTTTGTCCCTCTCCTGTGAGCACCAGCGGGACACAGGACAGTGATAACCCTCACTCCAAATCCATCCCCTGTCCTGAACCCTGCGCTCCCTTCTCGGAAAGCGACGGCCAGGGGGAATGGCACAGAACGCTAAAGTTGTTTTGCTGGAGTAGCAAAGCAGCTTTTGTCCCCTGTGTCTCCACAAACTCCCTCCAGCACCGCCCCGCATCCTCAGCGCTGGGAAAAACAGGGTTATAAACCCTGCAGCCTTAAACCAGAACCTCTGCAGAATGAACCCCAAAGTATTTACAGACATTAACCCAGAATGACCAAGAAAATCGTGTCCTTTTCATTGATACATTCTTATTTTATATAAAATACCCCCAGAGCCGATAGCTGCTTTTGCTGCTATTCAGAATTTTGCCCTACTCTGCTGTACCTTTGACTTTAAGAAGGTGACGGCATTTTTTTTTAAGCTGTTGAAAAATGCTGAGGTGAAAAATATTTTTGCAGTTCCTTACCTGATATTTACAATAATTTGTGCTTCATAAATGTTTGATTTAAGTGGTTTTAAGCATTTCTTATCTTGATATACTGTCCCCTAATTGGTACACTCCAACTGTCCTGAAGGAGTGGCTCAAATTCCAAACTCAAAAGCTGCAGGATGATTTTCTTTCTTTCTTTCCCTCACAATAGTTTTTGGGTCACACTTTAAATTACCTTTTTTCCCCCCACTCTGGCCATGACTCAGCAGTGCTGATTTGCATTGGGCTGGCACTTTTGCATACAAGCTATGGAGAAGTGATTTAAATACAAAATGGTCAAATATTTCATAGACCTTCTTTGACCTTCTCCGTTCCTGTACTACCAATTTCTTTTCCACATGTTTTGATGGGGAGGGTGATTCCCAGCATGGGATGTTAGAAAAATTGGTACCATGAGACCAAAATGCATTTGGGAATGTCACTGGTACTTGGGAAAGTCATTGCTACTTGCAGTAACCATTTTTTGTAGCACTTAAAAATTTTCTTTTAATGTAGGATGCTCTGTGCTGTAAAGTTGTTTTTTAATGGTGTATAATATTTATAATATCTTACCTAACCTCTGCTTTCTTCCATGGAAGTTTTAATTGCTGCAGTGGTAGGGAGAAGAATCAAAATAAACTGAGTCCCACAAGCTGTGTTTACTCACAGAATCAATTACAAATAGTTATGCATGGAATTAGGGGTGTGATCCCCCTGTGAAGCAAACTCAGGGACTGCTCAGCCCCCCAAAGGTCTGGCTGCACGGAGGGGACACTGAGGAGCATGTGAAAATACAACAGAAAACATTTTCCCTCTTGGCTTGGCACAACCTCTGTTTGACTTTAAAAATGACTGTGCTGGGGGTTTTCCTCTTGGTTCTTGTTAACCATCACCACCTTTCCCTCATTACTGGAACAAACACAAACACATTTGGACTGCATTTCTTAGTCTTTTAAAGAGAGATCACATCTCTCTGTGTCCTGTCAGGGCTTAAGGTTTACTCAAGGCATCACTTATATATCAAGCATATTTTATTTAAGAACAACTGTTTTTTTTGCAGGATTATATTGGGGAAATACAATACCTCCAGCAGATTAGGAGACATTGAATTAAAACCCCTGAAAGGTTTCTTTCTTCAAGGAAGCAAGACATTGATTGTGCTAAATTACCAGTTTCTGCTGAACACGATAATGCATCGACTGAGGCAGATGAAGCATCTGAGACCAGCCACTAATGGCACTGGCACATCAGACGTGATGTTGCAGCCATAAATTGCCCACTGGATATAAAAGTCCCAACACAATAAAATCTGGAAAATCACATTGTCCTCACAAGCCCGAGTCAAGTGAATCAGTGAGATCTCAAGTAACTGCAGTTCTGCACTGATAAATAATAAACTTCAAGGTAACAACATGAGAAAGTGTTTTTATTTGTTTGTAAGTAAAATATTATCTATAAAATGTTAAAAAGAGGAAATACTAGTTTCTGCGAAGCAAAGTTCTGATTGAATTTTTATTTTTATTTATTTTTTTTTTTTAATGCTGTAAAAAGTAAAATCCAATGTAATTTCAGGGATAACACTTGAAAATTATGCAAGTGCATGCTTAGGCCTTTTGGAAAGAACAAGGTCTCACATGTTCTTCTATTTTAAATGCCTGCTGCATCTCCCGAAATCCCCGGGGAATGAGCTTAGCAAAAGGTGAGCTCAACATTTCCAAAGGCACAGAGCCGCTCTGCTGAGCCGGGAATTCGGGAATTCGAGCATCGGCGCTGTGCGGGATCCCGGGCTCGCCCTGGGGGCTGCGGGTGACATTCCTGCCCATGAGGCAGCCCCGGGATTTAGCTTATAAAAATCCAGCAGTGCCGTGTTTTCATTTTATCTCAGAATGGCTGAGAGCAGCCCGGCTGGCGGCGGGCTCAAGGGACGGGCAGTGATGCGCGGCAGCCGCTACCTGCTCCCTCTCCGTTCCCAGCCCCGAACGGGGCTCGGCCGAAGGCGGAATAGACCCCGCGGCTGGCGCAGCTCGTGGTTTTGGGGGGTTTTCTCGCCTTTTGGCCCCGCCGTGCAGCCCCCGTGCCGGGCGCGGCGGCGGCGCTGGAAA